AGACCTTACAGCAGCCTTCCAGTACCTGAAAGGGACCTACAGGAAAGCTGAGGAGGGGCTTTTCATCAGAGAAGATAGTGATGGGACAAGGGGTAATGGTTTTAAACTGAGAGAGGGGAGATTTAGGTTAGACATTAGGAGGAAATTCTTCACTATAAGGGTGGTGAGGAACCAGAATGGGTTGCCTAGGGAGGTTGTTGATGCCCCATCCCTGGAGGTTTTTAAGGCCAGATTGGAAGAGGTTTTGTGCAACCTAGTCTAGTGGTAGGGATTCCTGCTCATGGCAGGGGGGTTGGAACTTGATCTTTACGATCCCTTCCAACCTTTATGATTCTATGATCCCATTTGTAAAGTTTAACTGGTAAAATAAGCTTTGAAAGCTTAACGAGCAAGTGCTTTTTTAACAGTTGTGGTTTTCATGGCTGTTTTATCTGAACCCTCTTGTTCTGTAAGATGTAACTGCCTGTAATTTTTAGAGCCAGACTGAGGTGATTCTGTAGCAGGTGTAAAAGTAAATGGGACCCAGTAGGTAGGTTTTAAAAGGAAGGAGTTAAGCCAAGTTTAATTTTCAGCTGTATAAAAAAACAAATAATGTTTTCAACATGACATTTTTCTCTGAAGTGTTTTCTTGGTGTAACATCACTTTTCTTAACAGTGATAGGAATGCTTGATTAGTGTCAGATCTTTGGGCAGTTACTGGGAAAACAGTATTTTTCATAGATTTTTGTTTTTTTAACTAATCTTTTGGTGAGCCTCTGGGGTAGAATGGAAGGATCCGCCTAGGAATGCAGAAGGTGGCACATACAAGAAGCTGCAACTTCAGTCACTTGTTTGCCTCTTGGAATAATTAGCTAGAGGGTGTTCCTGGTTTTTTAAACTATCCAAGTGAATTTCCTTGAGATGGCTATTATCCAAAGTTACTGTTGCATGATGCACTTCTCCTTTTTGCATTTGGCAGGTCCGTGCTGTGCGTCCTAAAGTTCTTATGAGGCTGTCAAAAACAAAGAAGCACGTTAGCAGAGCCTATGGGGGTTCCATGTGTGCCAAGTGTGTCCGCGACAGGTAAGCTTACAGAAAGTTGATTCTCAAGGTGCTTTCTACAGCGTTTTTACATCTTGCTGTGTTTGTATAATGAGGACCAAAACTTGGAAGACTCTTGTCTGATATCAGTGTAGTAAAATGGAGGGGATGAGCATGGGTCACATAAGCAGCGACCCGTTTGACTTTGTCCCCTGGATTTGACCTAGTTCCTGCCTGTGAAGCACCTGTTCTTAATTATTTTGTATTGCACAGTTGCTTTGGTGCTAAAGTCTGCTCATTCTGGATTTTCATAGTTTATATTAAAAGATTTATCTCTTATCCTGTTTTGTCTAATGCAAAGGTATTAGTGTAAGATCAGCTGAGCTTTTAGTTTCTTTTTGGTGATTTGGGGTGAAAGGTATTCATTCTTGCATATTAAAGCTTAACGACAATAAGTATGCTTAAGTTGGCCTTTGATGGGCCAACTAATTTGGTTTTATTGAGTAACAACTGTACATTATACTTCCTTGGCAAGTTTGAGGGGAAAAAATGTATGTTACAAAGATTATGTTATCTCTATGAATGGCAGTCAAAGCAGATCTCTGGATTTAGCAATCTAATGCCAGATTTTTCATCTGTAGTGCAAATTGTGCCAGTGGTTTTTGGGGTTGTTTGGTTTTTTTGCTTGTGTGAGTTAAATCACATGAGGTGTAACTGAAGACAGGTTGCAGATCTGTAGCAGAACTTTTCTCTGTTAAAACCCATATTTTTCCTGAGTGTTTTCCCAAGCACTTTATGAGCTTGGTAGGTTGTTTTTAATACATGAGTATGCCTTATTCTTCCTGAAACAAAAACCAGTCACCTCCTTCTATGTAATTGGCAGATTTTCTGCTGCATCTATTAATCTTTGTTAGGTTTTGTGTGCTGTGACAGTAGCCTTGTATTCCAAAGGCCTATGAATTGGCTTTTAAATGTTTCAGGGGAGAAGAGTGGGTGGTATATTTTTGCTTTTGACTTGAAATCATCAAATGTGCTGTTGATGTGCGAGTACTATCACTTGGGTCCATCTGCATGGTGGCCCTACATGTCTTCCAGAAGTAATTGTCTTTAGGCTTGACTTGACCTGCCAGGGTTTTCTCTGTTGAAGTGCAAAGAAGCTTTAATGTTGAGAGCTGCACTTGTTTGGATAACTGGGCTCATGTCAAGTTTTCTGTACTTCTGAGGAAGAGAACTGACTGCAGCTGGCCACATCAGTTCTGACTTTAGGAAACAGCTAAGTTGGCTTGCCAGTGACAGGTTTTGCTGTTTGCCTTTGAAGCTGGTGAAGGTGGTGCCTTTTTCTGTGCTCAGCCATCAGGCATTACCTTGCTTGCCTGCCAGCCACTCGTGCTAAATTCACAGGCAGGTTTGGCCTTCTTCCCCAGTCCTCTACATTCGTAGAATGCCGCCCTCCCTGTCTTTTGATGCTGACGTCATCAGTCATTTCTGTTTTTTACCTACTTGTGGAACTAACAGCAGATGTGTAATGAATGTTGGAGACAGAAAAACTCATTGTAACCAGTCTTGTGTTTTCACTTAAGTGGATAGATGTCCTAAAGTTGTTGTTTTTTCCTTTCCAGAATCAAACGAGCTTTTCTTATTGAGGAGCAGAAGATTGTTGTGAAAGTGCTGAAGGCACAGGCACAGAGCCAGAAGTCAAAGTGAATCTATTTGTAGTTTCATCTTAATAAATGAAAGCTCCACTTCTCTTGTGTCCTGTCGTTCCATGTGGTAGTCCAAGCTGGCAGGAACTGCATCTCACAGCTCATATAATGCGGAATTAGGTTTTGGTGCAGCAAACCCTCTTAAGTCAGGATGCTGATTTCTGTGCTGCTTGCAGACAGGGAAGTCAAGGAGGTGGAAGAGGTCTGGTTAAACAACTCCCAGGTCTGTTTCACAATCCTGTAGGAGGGACTGGAGTAACTGAGCAATGTGAGCGTTTTTTTCATGGTGACAGCTGTGTGTAAAGCCATCAGAGGACTTGGCTCAGAAGAAAGCTAGGAATCTGGAAAAAGAAAAGCAAACTGCTACATCTCGATCTCCTGGGAGATTGGGATCTACATGGGCTGTATGTGTTTGTTGGTTACAGATAGGATAGAAGCAGAGCTCCAGGGCACAGAACAGACCTTTAATGGCTCCCAGAATTAGGCTCTTGGCAGTAGTTTAGGCCTCTGGTATTGAAACTTGAGCCAAAGTCCTGTTGCCTCATCACTGAGGAGGCAATGGTAATGTTCAAAGCAACCATAAAAGGTGGAAATGGGCTTGTTTTGCTGCTTTACTGCAGTCTAGCATAGAGGGTGGTAAGTGTGCCTAAGGCTGCCCAGGATAATTCTTGCACTGCCTGTGGGGGCAGGGCATTTCTCATCCCCAGCTCTGAATTTGGAACTATTACTGATGAGAAGTGAGCTCCACCACCAGAATAAGGAAGGAGGAGAAATAATTCCTGAGCATGCAGATTTACTGGGAGCAGTGAGTGCTGTTTGAAGATGTTTCTAAGATCTCTTGAGGAGACTGCTCAGGCTGTGGGTCTGAAACTTGCGCAAATTCCTCCTGAGTGAATCCTCTCCCTGCCTGCCCCCGAACCTCATCAGGGGTGTGGGGTCAGCCAAGAAGGCAGATGGCAGAAGACTGAGTTGACAAGCAGACCTGCCCTGGTGGCAGGGAGCTGGTGCCCTGGGGGGGAGGTGCATGCAAACTGGCTGCTGTGGTGGTTATGCCTTCAGGGTTGAATGACCAGAGATGGCTGTGATCTGGGATAACTGACTAACACCACACAGGGTGTGCCAAGAATTTCACCACAGTGTCCCAAGTCACTAGAGTGAAAATACTCTCAAAAAGTGGAAGTATTGCAGCTAACTCTGGCGGCATTAAGTATGAAATGCTTCTTTTTCGTCAGCTTGGGTTATGCTAAAACTTGTTCCAAGGGCTGTGGCTAATTAAAGGATGTTCTAAGAGTAATGCTAGTACCCTGACATTTTTAGGTGCTGTTGCTATAGTTGGTTCACAAGGTTAAAATTTTATTAGTTGTCTCACTGTGCTAGTACAAACTTAAGCACTTTGGCATGCTGGAAAAATGGTTTTAAAGCAGCAGGGGGAAGAAGGGCAGGCGTGTCTGACCTGCCCCAAAAGTGCTCTTGTTTTATACTCAGAGCTGTGAGATAAGTTTTTCTTGGGCCTTTTGAAAAGGAGGCAAGATGGAAGGAGAATAATTATTCCAGAACTTCTGGAATAATTAGGAGAAACGTCGTAAACGTCTGTTGATGGGCAAGTCACGCTGAGAGGGAGGCTTCCAAAAAGGAGGGCTAGGCCTGAAAAGGCGGCCGGGGAGGGCTGTGCGCCCGCAGGGCCGGGACGTTCCCCCCCCCC